CATTCCAGTTCTCCTTCACCACTGTCTTGAATGCTTCATGTTTTGTCCAGAAGTTTAGAAATCTAAAAGGCTTCTTGATTGGAGGGTTTTCAATGTCACACTTCAAGAGCATTGGACAGTGATCTGAGCCAGTCTTTGACATATGAGTAACCTCCAGTCCTGGGAATGTTTGCTGCAATTCTATGTTCCCAAAACACCTATCTAACCTTTTAAAGATACAATCATCCTCTGATCTTCCATTCCACCAAGTAAAAATACTTCCTTTGAACCCCAAATCTGTCAGATTGCAAGTGTTGATACAATGTCTGAAATCATCTACTTCATTTAGAGACACAGGTAATCCACCAAATTTCTCCTCCTCATCCCATATGACATTAAAATCCCCTCCCACTAACCATGGAGATGTCATGTCAGAGGCCATGGCATATAATGAATCCCATAATTCTATTCTCTCTATGTGATCACATTTGGCATATACCAGTGTAAGGATTAATTCTACATGAGTTTCAGTATGGAATAACTTCAATGTCAGCTGCTGTACCATATTGTACAGAATGTCCACTTCATAAACCTCATCAATGAATGCCCATATTTTATTTGACACATTTACTACTGCTTGTGCAAGTCCTATTCTGCTTCTATACCTTTCAACCTTGTTAGCTTGTTGCATAGGCTCCATTATTCCAATGAATTCAAAATGATGTTTCTTATGCATAAGAATTAGTCTCTCAAAGGCCTGCATAGTATTAACAGACCTGATATTCCATATGATTGCATCCATCACTGATTAATGGATTTGGACAGAGCTCTTCTTGTTTGGACCCCACCTGCTGGTGCAGATGAATTGTCTTTCTGTTGTTTCTTCTTACCTTTTGCTGCAGATTTAACTTGCTCAATATGTCTAGGGGACAAATCTCCTTGTTTGGCAATATTGAAGAAGTTTTGGGCTGTAGACTCTTCATCCATATCTTTTCCTATACCTTCTTGTTCATCATCTGCATGAATACCTGCCACATTTATTTGCATCACTGCTTTCTCACTGACCCTCAGAGGTGCCTCAGTGACAAGTTTTGCCTTTTTTGTGTGTTGATCATGAATTGATACTATCTGTGTGTTGTCTTTATGCTGTACCTTATGAGTGGAATCAGTACATTTTCCTTCTTCTGTTCCTCCTGGATCAATGTTATTACCATCAACCTCCTTAGTAAACACCACTTCATCCACCTTATCTGCATTAGAATTATTTTCTGAGTTCTTCTTCTGCTCCTCACCCTTTGCTACTGTATTGTTTTTGACTTGATTTTCTAAAGGTTTGTTGCCTTTTGACTTATCATTTACACTTTGATCTTCTTCATCCAAGCAGTCCCCCCCAACTTCCTCCTCACTTTGCATTACATCAGGGATGACTCCTTCTTCTGCATCTTCTTCAAATTGTTCAGACCACAATTTGCCCCCCTTCCATTTTGCTTTTTCACTATTTTTAAACATTTCAAAGTCTGCATCTTCTATGTTATCATTATCATTTTCCTTTGTAAGTGCCAAATCAACTCTTGTATCCTGTGAGGGTATCTCCTGAACTGATGTGTTTGTTGCCACAATGTTGCCAATAAAGGCCCTTTGTACCCATGCTGCAGTAGATTCTTGTACCTGATTTTCATAAATTTCCATTTCCCTACTCTTTGCTCTCTCATCTTCCTTTGAGGTGTTTAACTTTGCTGCTGTAACACTAGTATTTGGTACATTACCTGTGTTCTTCTTTCCTCCATTCTTGCCCCTGACTGTCCCAGGAGTAGTAGGTTTAAACACTGCTGCTGCAGGATTTAGGATGCCTCCACCCTTTGCATTGGGCATTAACCTTTGTGTTCCCTGATCCTCCACCAATGCCAATTGATTATTGGCATTATCTTCATTATTTTCCACCTCTAAGACTTCAAACATGTTGTTGGTCTGCACCTGCTGTAAATTTCCAGCATTTTGTTTTTCAACAGGTACTATTTCTTTCCCAATTGTTGTTGTTCCTCCACTCTGCTTGTCATTACCTTGAGCCCTTCTGTCTCTGACCTCTTTCCACTGTGCACCTACATTGCCAACAACCTTTCCACTTGTAAGAATCATTAATGGAGCATTATTCTTACTAGTTTCCTTGTTTGCTTGTACACCACCATCTGTAACAGACTGCTTCTCCACTTTCCTATTATTTAGAAGTTCAGGATGCACCCTCCAACATTCCATTAAGTCATGGCCTTGTATTTTACAATCCTTGCAATATTTAGGTAAATAATCATACTTAATATTCACCCATTCAGTTCTTATATCTCCCGTATTCTCATTGACAATATCCATCCTAACCTTTTTAGGGAGATCAGCTAATAAGTCAACTAGCACCTTCACACGTGCACAGCTAGGTCTAGTTTTGTTCATAGTAGCTTGATCAAGGTGTTGTGGTATTCCAACAGCTGAAGCCAATGAAAATAGGCACTCTTTAACAAAAAAAGTAGGCAACAAATTTGGGAATGAAATCCATGCCATTACTTTAGGGGTCTCCTCTCCAACTTTGAAGTTAGAATCATAGATCAAAGTACGCAATTGATATTCCTCCCCATGTTTGTCCTTAACATAATAAACACCTTTAGAAGAAAAATTAACATAATCCTCCCATAATGTGAATCTCACTAGTATATGTCTATCCCTTAAGTACCCAATGTTGCATTCACCCTTGATTCCACATTGCACTGGAATAATACGTCGCAATTCATTGATTTCAGGCCATCCATACGAAAATTTACATACAACTGCATACTTTAAACCTTCTATAATATTCATACGCTCGACTTCTGATTCAGTAAAGCAAACTAAA